ACGGCATCCCATACAGGCACCGGTTCAAGTCCCAGTTGCTGCTCTTCCAATCCAGCTCTCTGCTATGGCCTGGGAAAGTAGTGGAAGATGGCCCGAGTCCTTGGGCCCCTGCACCCATGTGGGAGGCCTGGAAGGAGCTCCTGGCTTCAGGATTGGCGCAGCTTAGGCTGTTGCAGCTATCTGGGGAGTGAACTAGTAGATGGAAGACCTCTCTCTCTCGCTATCTCTACCTCTCTGTAACTCTGTCTTTCAAATAAATAAAATAAATCTCTAAAAAAAAAAAGGAAATTGTGTATTATTAAAAACTATGTATGGATTTCAACATTTTTATGCTAAAATAAAGTTATCTTTTAATAACATTTTCCATGAACTTTTTGAAGCATTCTTATATTCTTGTCTTATCTATCAATTTTTTTACTTTCTGAACCCCAGATTTTGTGTTGATTCATAGTAACTTCTGATTCATAATAACTAGTACTGTGCTTTGACCACAGTAGTACTCAAACATGGTTTGAAAGAAGGCACACCACTTAAAAAACATCGCTCTATGTGGGGCTGGAAATAGCCATCATAGCTATGATTTGCTATGGATAGTGGAGTGGTCAGGGAGGGATTCCTGAAAGAGGTAACATTTAAGAGGAGTCTTAAAATAAGTGTGGGGATTAGAAGTTAAGATGGGAGCAGAAATATTTCAGTTTGATTAGAACATGGAGCTCAGCAGGAAAGCAAAGAACGGTAAGGTTAAAAAATTTGAAGCCATACTGGTAAAGTTTTAATTCCAGGCAAAATGATCTGGACTGCTTTTGTAATTAATGAGGAGTGATTGAAAGTGCTAAGAGATCCCATTGATATATAAATGGGGATAAGAGAGACCAGGATGACACAGACTGAACAGAATTAAAAACTGAAGAATTAAGCCAGCCTCTGCTTCCAGCCTTCATCATTCTTTTTAATTTTTGTTTTTTAAGTTTTAAGTAAATGACCATGTTGGTACCTGAGACAGAATCTGAAGAATTAACCCCATATAAGCACGCTTCAGTTTGTTAATACCATTTAAAAATAAACAGCAAAAACAACCTGTCATAATTCAGGCTAAGGAGACATTGTGATATAAAGCATAAGGAAGGAAGTAGAAAACTTCTGATACTCCTTTCAAGGTGTCTGTTAAACCCATATCTCTGGCCAAAGTATTCCAGAGGGTAAGACATAAACACCCCCTTCCTTACCACCTTTTCAAGGTTGTCATTTTCAGCCTCTCTCTACTAGGCCTCTGCCTCCGCTGGCTTATTGTCTTGAACCTTTAGGTTCAACCTATTCATACATTCAAAAAGTCAAGTCACCTTTATGAGGCGCCACTGTCTGCCTCTTCACTCAAAGCCTGCACATGGACGTAGCTGTTCCTCTGGAATGCCTGGGACACCTGAGCTATGAAATTCCTCTCACTAGAGGAGGGAAAAAAATCACAGATCTAGAAGCTCTTCAATAGCTTTTGTTCTTGCCAACATGTCTTTCCATATGTTGGGACTGAGCAGTCAACTACTCAGGCCAGACATATAGTTCTTTCCGCCATCTTTCAGGATCAGATCTATTACAAAGAACATTTTAAATAGAGTCATTTTACAAAAGATAAACACTGACCAAAACTAGCTCCTTAGTACAACCTAAAATCCATTAATTTGGGATTCACTTGAATTTAAAAACAAGCATGATTTTTCACAAAGCGAAAGGGATCCTCATTATCAGGCTCTGCATTAGGAAAACAGTCTGGTCAACTTGATCCACTGAAAGAGGAGGGGAGTTTGATCTGAGGGGAGGGGAGAAGGGTAAGGACAATGGGCAGGAAATCTGTGAGATCATTTTTGGAGCATGATGTATTTCCAAGAATAACCCAGGGGAAGTCAAAGAAAACTAAACAACATCATCAGGGCACCGGGCTTCTGAAAGGTAGGGAATGAAGGCTAGTAAATCAAGAGGAAGCAGGAAGGAAAAATCCACAGCCCCAAAGCTTGGTGAATGAACTCCAAAAGCTAACTTTGCCTTGAGCTGTCACCAAGGTCCTCATTTAGTCGGAAAAGTTCCACCTAGCTCTCACTTTGTGTGGGAGCATCCACAATGAAGTGGAATGTCCTGGAACCTGGATACAGAAGTGTGACCAAATGATGCTGGAAGTGTTACATGTAGAGATAAAGCCAAGAAAGAGAAGGTTTAAAAAACGGAGCCAAAAGAGCTGGAACACAAAATGGGATCCAGTTTATTAAAATTACAGGTGTTTGGGGACTTTCATATTTCTCATCTTAAGTTTTATTCAAACTGTTTATACTGGAAATTCTGAGTATGCCTAGGCCAAAGAACTGTGATTGGCAGTCACTATTCAGAATTCAGTGAGCTCCAATAAACTATTTCACCTGAGCTCAGAAAATAAAAACTGCAGTAAGGCAGAAATTTGCAAAAACAAAAAACAAAAAAAAGAAAGTTTCCTCATAGCATTTCCCTAACTGATAATTACCCTAATAATTTTCAAAAGTCCTTCAAACCAAGGGTAATACATATGTTTACAGTGAAAATACTCAATAGTAATGACATTGCCTTCATATCCCCTCCATCTGGCAAGAGTGCTGCTCAATCCCTTTTAAGAGATGTCTGGTCCAAGCCGGCGCCGTGGCTCAATAGGCTAATCCTCCGCCTTGCGGCGCCGGCACACCGGGTTCTAGTCCCGGTCAGGGCGCCGGATTCTGTCCCGGTTGCCCCTCTTCCAGGCCAGCTCTCTGCTATGGCCAGGGAGTGCAGTGGAGGATGGCCCAGGTGCTTGGGCCCTGCACCCCATGGGAGACCAGGAAAAGCACCTGGATCCTGGCTCCTGCCATCGGATCAGCGCGGTGCGCCGGCTGCAGCGGCGGCCATTGGAGGGTGAACCAACGGCAAAAAGGAAGACCTTTCTCTCTGTCTCTCTCTCACACTGTCCACTCGGCCTGTCAAAAAAAAAAAAAAAAAAAAAAAAAAAAAAAAGAGATGTCTGGTCCAGGTGAGAGTTGCCCACAAGATCTATTATCCTTCTCCTACAAAGCCAATGACATGACCCTTCCAAAGTACATAAGCCTTGTCTGCTCATCTCACATCTCCTCACCTCAACAGCGTCTTCAGTGTCTATTCTTTTGGCATTTTTTTACATTACATTTTTGTACATTAAAATATATTTTTAATCTGCTCCTATATGGCATGAGCAAATCCATCTTTACCTTTCTTAGCTCAGTCCCACTCCCTCGGCACGAATGTGCCAGTGGCAGAGGTTCTCTAGAGGATGGCCTTATCTCTTAGACATCTGACCTTGCAAAACTGGCCACAGACTTTCTAATCTCACACTATCCCAAAGACTCTTAGAGAAGCTATTTCAGCTTTCTTATTATTTTCTCAGACGAAACACACTGCACAATCATTTTAGTCCAAAATCTCTCCCACCTCATATACAATTTCTCTACATTGTTCATAGAAAGACCAAAGTTAAAAAAGCTTCCATAGTCTTCTCCCCATATACTGGTTCCTCTACTTGTATAGCTACCCTACAAAACACTGTTACTTTCATTTTCCCAGTATCTGAAAATTATAGCAGCACTGTCGTACTGGCTAAAATCCTTGTTTCATTTTCTACATCAACTAATTACTATACGATGACTCAATATTCCCATTCTTTAGTAAATTTCTCTTATGTTTTATATGCTGCATTCTTGTTCTTATAGGTGGCAAAGGCCCAACATGATTCTTTCACAGCCAATTATAAACCCTGTTCTAGATGTCATTATCCTTCTCAACAGATGTTACCACGTAGCTGAGATCTAACCTTGCTCTCCTGAATCCCAGAACACTGTGAAGAATTGGTAACGGCAGCCAGTTACATCTGCACAAGTACCTGGCCTCCACCAAATGCTTTCCCATTCATTTTCCTCTTATCCAAGTCTCTCAACAACCCATTTTTAATTGAGGAAACTGTAATTCAGCAAAGATTAGGTGCCTTAACCAGAGTCAAGCAGATATTTAAATGCTAGTCTGGAATCAAACTGAGAACTTCAATATTCAACCCGAACTCTTCCCCCATGCACGTTTTTTGAGAATAAACCTACCTGCTAAGCAAGCCCCATCTCTAGTACAGTCTTACAGGGGCCGCACAGGCCCTGTGGCATACTGCTGGTCTCTGGCCCATTCCATGGCACTATTTTTGCTGTATTTCCCACTCCTAGCACCAAACCTTGACACAAAAACTCAGCCCACCTCCACCAACTTCTCACAAATCCTGACCTCTTCCAATGATAACCAAGTTCTTTTCTTCAGCTCTGAACATGGTCTTGCCCCTTCTCTGCTGCTACTTCCTCTGCCAGGAGAAAAGAAGCAGTTTTCCTTCTTTACCCAAGGATTCACTCAATCACTCTGGGCCAGAAACCACAAACTCTTATCCACAGACTCTGAGTAAGTCTCATTTACATATAGTTTCAGCTCTCTGTTCTCTGTCCTTCCCTTCTGTCCTTTTGAAACTATTCATTTTAGAGTGTAAACTCTTGGCCCAGAAGGCTCTAGTTCATTAGCTGTGGTAGTACCCAGCACAATGCCTTGTATTCAAAGGCATATAAACATTAATGATTATGATCTTTTGTTTTAAAAATAAATCACCCCTGTCCTTGATCTGAAATAATGACAGAAACAGGCTGCCAAAACCACTAAAAGCATTATTTACCTCAATTTGGAGTTTCTGAATAGGAATCAACTTAAAAGAGCTGTAGAGTGGAAGACAAGGACACATTTGTTTAAACATGGTCCCAAAGGTATAAAATGAAATACTGAGTAATTTGTTATTAGCTTCCCATCACCAACAACAGTCCAACTCAATTGCACAAGGTCAACCTAGTAAGAAGACCTTAGATCCCAGCATACCTATTATAAAAAGGAGCAGATTAACTATTCTTTTTTCATATGTGCTCTGGAAAATCAACAGCTGGCTACATATTACTTACTGGCTTATCCTTGATGGTGGGGCTTGACACACACAGGTACAGTTTCCCGTCTTCTTCTAGGCAGGCGTCTATCAAAGCTTGTACTGAACTCTCCTCCTGGAATAGCAGAAAGGCATAGCCTTGGGGGAAACAAAAACAAAAGGAGAGGGGAGGGATCAGTCAAGTAAACTCAAAGTACCAATTTAAAAATTGTCTGTTATTTCATGTTGCCAAATTCTTCTTAAAATCTAAGAAGCTCAAATGGGACAAAGTGACTTGAGGCCCTCATGTGCCAGGCACAGTGTTAAAGTGCTCAAAGACAGTATCTTGTTTAATGTGCTGAGTAATTACCCAGAGGAGCAAGTTCAGATCTCCTTTGGAGAATTTCCACAAGGTCTACCTGGTAATCCTTAATGAGGACATCAGCATCAGCCGAAGCCACAGCTAGTAGCCAGGAAACAGGAATCACTAGCCTTCAAATTTCCACAGGCTCTGGCTTGGCACATGCCACAACACAGATGAACCTCGAAAAGTATCATGCTAAATGAAAGATGCCAGGCATAAAATATTCTGTTTGGAATTGGTATATCTGTCAAGATAAACAAGTAGCTTCATGAAGGGCCAGCACTGTGGTGTAGTAGGCTAAGTTGCCACTGATGAAACTGGCATCCCATATGGGCACCAGTTCAAGTCCCAGCTGTTCCACTTCCAATCTACCTCCCTGCTAATGTGCCTGGGAAGGCAGTGGAGGATGGCCCAAGTGCTTGGACCCCTGTACCCACATGGGAGACCTGGATGAAGCTCTTGGCTCCTAGCTTTGGCCTGGACCAGCCCTGGCTATTGTGGCCATTTGTAGATTGAACCATCGAATGAAAGACCTCTACCTCTGTAACTCTGCTTTTCAAACAAATAAATAAGCCTTTAAAAAAAATTGATGTTTGCCAAGGACTAAGGGGCTGGATGAGATAGGCTCATGGTTCCTTTTTTTTTTTTATTTGAAAGGTAGAGAGAGAGAGAGAGAGGCAGAGAGGGTGGGGGGAGGGAAAGAGCAGGAGAGACAGAGAGAAAGACAGAGACATGTTTTCCATTTGCTGGTTCACTCCCAAATGGCGGCAATGACAGGGGCTGGGCTGGGCTAGGTGGAAGCCAGGAGCCAGGGGCTTCTTCCGGGTCTCCTATGTGGGGGCAAGGGTCCAAGGACTTGAGCCATCCTCCACTGCCTTCCCAGGCCCATTAGCAGAGGGCTGGATGGGAAGTGGAGCAGCCAGGTCTTGAACCGGTGTGCATAGGGGATGCTGGCGCTGCAGGCTAGGGGCTTTAATCTGCAGCACCACAGCACTGGCCTGGCCTCCATGGTTTCCTTTTGAGATAAAAATTTCTAAAATTGTAGTAATGGTTGCACAACTCTGCAGACATACCAAAAATCATTGTACTGCATGGTTCAAATTAGTAAACTACATGATATGAATTGTATCTCAAAAAAGCTGTTTTAAAAGTTCAAAAATAGGCTGATATATTCTTAAATTTACTGCTGTTGTTGCTGCTCTGTTTCTCTAAGGGACATCTCTTACTAAAGAATACACTTGAGAAACCCAGACAACAACTATAGGATTCCACATATACAGCCAGTTTTTAGTACACTCAGTAAGATCTACTGAGTAACTGGTACAAGTGGGACACAATCTATGAATTATGAGATAGCTGAGATAAGTGAGATCAGGTTCCTGCTGACAAGACACTTGTACAGTAAAACGAACAAACATTTAGACAATGAACTACTCACTACTAAGTTGAGGGAGTTACATGGGGACAAAATATGCCACACCAGGACTCTGGTTTAGGAACATTAGCAAAGACTTCAAAGACAACCGATGTTCAGGAGACCAACTCTGGCATTTGCTGTGATACTGGCATTCATGAATGGCAACTGAGCAAAGATCCACCATGAGCTAACCTAAGCCAGAGCACTCAACTATTCAACCTCTACAGCCCTGAGAGCTTTGTTAAATCTCTCAGCTGTCATCTCCACTCCCAGTCCTGCTGCTGACCTCAACAGAAATCATCACCAATATTGTTTTCTGGTGCACTCTGTGCCAGAAAGATATAAGTGGTGGAGAAGTATAAGAACCTCTACATAGAGAAGATCCCAACACATCAAACAACAATGTTTAGTTTATAATTAACTGGCTAAGAAACAAAGCTCTCCAGAGTCCTGGGCAGATGATATCTTGCCAAATAATGCCAGTGGTGGTAGATAATGGCTAGGCTTTTTTTTTTTTTTTCTTTTTATCTTAATTCCTCAGCTACTATACAGAACAGGAAAAAGACAAGCCAACCCCCAGTACACCAGAGTGGCCAATGCAATAGGCAAAGCCAACACCCAAGAGAAGGCATCAGGGTGAATAGGACAAGTAACTGCAAGACAGAAGCTGCCTATGTATTTGTTTTCTGAGTTTTGCTCCCAAGATAAATGGGTCAAAGGTTCAGTTAGTGATCAAGCAGGAAAAGTAAAACCTAACTGCAAAGCTATAAAGAATAAAACATGACTTTTTCATATTCTCTCCCTTTGCTAACAGTATCATACTATAACTAAGTCTCAGGGAATCTATTAAAAATTCAGTGTTTTCATTTCATGTGAGAACATTAATTTTACTTGCCAAAGAGATACTGAGAATGAGTGGGCCGAAAAAATACAAACATCACAAAGAGTAAGTCTAAGCACATTTTCTTAAATCTCCTGCTTTGGCAAGTTAATCCCGGTACAGATCTTCTACAAAGGTCATAAAAAGCACACTGACCCTGTCTGTATATACACTATGCACATCAAAAAGGCCTGGTGATGGGGCGTGTTCAGGGGGCTGGGGTTTTCTCTAACTCCATGCCTCTGGAAGATCTCCATGCTGACTACATTTTTCCTCCACATCACTGCCCACTCTCTACAATCTTAAATCTCAATCCAGTTTTGAGTTGACCCTGTGATTATAGGAAAGGGAGGTTGTTTTCCCTTAGCAGCTGAGTAGTTAACACAAAAGCACGTAGACTTGGGCATTTCTCATAATCACAAGTGTCCATACGGACAGTAGAAACAGTAAAAAACAAAACAAAAAAAAAACCCACGGGAATCACATATGTTAATGCTAAGAGATCTAAGAGATACCTACATTCACTTCTTGAAGGTGATGGTCCATATTAGTTGACCAATTCCTTCAAGATCTTTTTTTTTCTTACAAGTATTCCTGCGTCAAAACAATCACCTTTACTGACTGGTAAGCTGTTACTCTCTGCAATGACAATATTCTCAGCATTACAGATATGGCTGAATCCCCACTCTGGGCTATGGTCCAGCAATTTCCTTCAACTCTACTTCCCATCCTCAGGTTTCTAATCAAAACAAATTTACCAGAAAGATCCAAAATTATTCATGAAAACAACATTTATGATACCTCACCTACTAAAATACCACCTGATACCACCTCAAGGTCAAGCAAACGCAGATGACAACAAAAATCAGATTTGAAGAAATCAGGAAGAATTCTTTAAACACATTTTCCTTTGACCTTGAAAAATTTAAGGTCAAAGTAAACAAAGTGGAATAAGTCACTTCACAAATAACAAGGTCAATGCGAGGTAGAAATTAAATCAATGATTTACTAAAAAATAAATTCTACATGGTACTATGAAAAAACTTCTGGACTAGGAGTCAGAAGGTCTGGTTTTGGGTACAAGCCCTAACATTTACTAGCTGTGTGGTAATAACAGTTAATAGCTAACATTTTTTTTTTTTTTTTTTACAGGCAGAGTGGACAGTGAGAGAGACAGAGAGAAAGGTCTTCCTTTGCCGTTGGTTCACCCTCCAATGGCCGCCACGGCCGGCGTGCTGCAGCCGGCGCACCGCGCTGACCCGAAGGCAGGAGCCAGGTGCTTCTCCTGGTCTCCCATGGGGTGCAGGGCCCAAGCACTTGGGCCATCCTCCACTGCACTCCCTGGCCACAGCAGAGAGCTGGCCTGGAAGAGGGGCAACTGGGACAGAATCCGGCGCCCTGACCAGGACTAGAAACCAGTGTGCCGGCGCCACCAGGCAGAGGATTAGCCTGTTGAGCCACGGCGCCGGCCTTAATAGCTAACATTTATTGAGCATTCCCTATGTACTGATCTAAGTGCACTGTGTGTATTACTGCATTTCATCTTCACGTATACTCTGTGAGATAGGCACTATTTTAAAGTCTGTGTTATAATTTAGGAAACTGCACAGAGTGACTTATTCTAGTTTACCAAGTGGTGGAACCATGAACTTGAAGGTTAATTTAGTATTTCTGAATCTTGGCTCTTTTCTCTGTAAAATAAAAAACTGAGTATTTGTCCTGATTATCTTATAGAGATGTAGGTTATATGAATAAATGTAAAGGTGCTTTGTAAACTAGTGTTCATGTAAGTGTTGAATTGTCTTTTACAGAATTTTCAATTATTTATGTGACACAAAGTTGATTTGCTGCATAAATCTCATTATAAAAATTAGAATTTAAATTAATGATATGTACTTCCTATTTTGCATTTGCAAGTATTTGGTAAATAAAAAGAAGTAACCTAGACACTGAATAGAAGCCCCAATTAAAGTTCTTGAGTGATAGGCTGCATATTATTACAATCAAATAATAAAGCAACTGAATATCTGCTTTCATATATTATTAAACCATTTCCATCAAGAGAGAATTGTCAGATACAGCATTATTTGACAATTTTAATACATTCTTCAAATAAAAGCTGATTATGCCTGTGAATAGAACCTCTCTAATCATCACTTTAATGACAGGTTCTTCTATTAGTTAGAAAAGCTTAAAAAAAAAAAAAAGCTAAAAAACTCAGCTAAAAACTCCCTCTGAACTTCTTTGGCCTCTGAGCCAGTAACAGATAACAGGTTACAAAATTCCGTATTTCAGAAAGAGTGACCTGAGGATTGGGTGGGGCTTCAGACATGTGAGCTATGTGAACCCATAACTCAGAGCCAGTCTGCGGGAAGAAATATGGGCTCTGGAGGGAATAAGAGGAACTCTTGGCCACTGTCACCATCACAACCCTGCGTTATGGGCAGAATGGACAGCAGGAAATTCTTTGCATTTTCACTGGTGCCAAGTAGGTTGGG